ATAGGAAGTTATAAGCACTAACACCATTTAAAAGTGTTTTGCCTGAGGCTGTTTGTTGTTGTTTAAAACCTTGTAGTTTCTGTTTTGATGAACTCTTATCATGATAAATCAGTGTTCTAAGTTTCATTGCTAGAGGACCCACCATAAGCAAGTTACAGGCACAAACATCATTAAGAAGTTTTTATTACCCGAGGCTGCTGTTTGTTGTTGTTTACATGAACCCTTTTCAGTGTACCAGGTTTGGTAGCTGTAGCTAATTGCTGCAAGTTGTGCACCATGCCATGATCGCCTATGTGATAAGTGAGTATCTTACTTTATTACTGTCTCTCGAGGTAGCTAGCCAGGTATGACGATGCAGCTACTTGTTATAGTCACTCTTTTTCTAGGAGAAGATAAAGACCAAAGACGTATATAGCTAGTCAGGCTACCCCAAAGTGATGTAGCAAACCTATCCAGTGTTTCATCGTCCCATATCTATGTATGTTATGGGATTGATGAGAATGGCCTTTAGAGGGATTATCCCCGGTTCTTTCCCTTACATGGACTTGTAAACAGCTATTGTAGCTACCTGCGCTAGTTGAGGCACTATGCATGATTTGGCAAGGTGTACAATAATCTACTGGAGTGAGCTATGTAATGTAAACGAATTGAGATTTCATGGCAGCGGGTCATGTGTGTTCCTTGCGATTTCAGCAATAGATAATTAGCGCCAAAGGTGCGTTAACTTAGCTAGCCTAAGCGTGCTACCTCATTAATTGCGCGCATGCGCAATGATGTTGCGCAATGACGGATGATCGCGGAAGGTCAGAGGAATACGGCGATGCCCGGAGTGACCCCTGGCTTGTATATAAGATACTCTCTGGAGGAGATGTCCGCTCTTGGTTGATGTAACTCAGTGCCAACTGGTCAAAACGCTATCCGTCATCGAACTCTGACACCAGGTCTTGAGGCGCCTCTTAGAGTGCTGAAGGATCGTTCATAAGAGCAGTATCCAACACGTGCATGTATATTATATGCATGCTACCGCTAAGCAGCACAGCTGCTGTCGATTTCGTTGGTTACGCTGCATAATTTTTAGTCGTTCGTTCGAGCGGATTTTTCTACATACGTCCGTGTCGTCCGTGTGACGTCGTGTGGATAGGGAACGGGCTAGGGAACGCCTCGCCCCCGAAACAGCGGAAGAAAGGGAAGTACGACTAGCGAGACGTCGTGTACGAGATAGAGCTACACGCCCTGTGGAATCAGGGGAAACGGAACAGGCCGAAACAGCGGAGGAAAGGGAAGCGCGAAGCGAAGCACGACTAGCGAGACGTCGTGTGGATAGGGAACGGGCCAGGGAATGCTATAATGCACACCACATCCTTACGGATGGCTCCCGCTCGCCAATAATGTTCAACATTTCCACTAGTAAATTATTCATAAGTCGCCAATAACAGAGGAGGCAACTGCCTCCTCTGCCTCAATTCTAGCTACGCCCCTGAATTGAGCACGTAACCCTCGGCGCGCATGCATTTTTTTACTTGGTCCGTAAGTTTGTCTGTCTGTCTGTCTGTCTGTCTGTCTGTCTGTCTGTTACAACGTTTTCTGCAACCACGCGCAACGAGACAACGAAAGAGCGATACCAAAAGGTTCAGCGCTATACCGGCTTGATTAACAATTAATGGCGATTTTCGCATAACTACCGCGGTCAAAAGTTATGGCGTGAAAAGCAAGTGAACAAGCCAATATGCAAATGAAAAACACTGAAGTGCAAACCCTCGGCGAACTTCGCATGCGCGGTACCGCTAATTGATGGGCTGGGCTACTTAGTATGCGTTTACTCGTGGTCTCTCCCGCTAGTAGCTCGCAGAGAGTCTTACACGGGCTAGCTACAGCATTAGATAGAATGCGGGAGTCGATACACGCCCTTCGTTGTGTCTTCTTATGCCTTCAAGAGCAAGCGAACCAGGTAGAGGTAAGCCTGTGATAAATAAAAGCGCATGCGCGTTTTCCGCAGCGATAAAATTGTGACTACCTGCATGAGCCCGTTAAGTAGGTCGTATCGTTTGTGAGACGAACGAACACTCGAGAAGTGAGATGTAGAGTAACAGACAGACAGACACACACGAACGACTACTGTAACCCTCGCTGCGCATGCGCGCCGAGGGTTAATTAGCACAGGCTTACCCCGACCGGGTCCGCTTGCTCTGTATATCTTGAAGGCACAAGAAGTCACAATGAAGGGCGTGTACCGACTCCCGCATGCTATCTACTACTGTAAACTAGTCCGTGTCAGACTCTCCGCGAGCTACTGTTTGCACTTTAATATTAGAAAATCAGTCGGAATTAGCCTCCTAATGAGGCGATTATGCCGGAATTGCTGTAGCTGGGAACCGCAGCGCGCGCCTCAGCGACATAATTGGAGCGCTGTGTTGGGTGTTGTGGGAGGCAGCATTTTAAAAGTAGCTAGTCAAAGTTATGAAGCAGTGTTTACCCATCTAGTGGTTCACCCTTTAACACTGATGGCTATGTATGGATGCATGAGAATGGCCTTTAGAGGGATTATCCCAGGTTCTTTCCCTTACATGGACATGTAAACAGCTAATGTAAATGTGCGAATTGGCATGCGTGGGTGTGGCAATTAGCAATGTGTGTATTATAGATACTTTTGTTTAGGACATGCACATCTACTGGAGTGAGCTATGCAACAACATCATCTGTGGGCTACTATGCTGAGCCCTACGCAGATGGCTACAGTTGTGGGTGGTTTGGGTGGTCACGCTGCACCCGGACAAGATACAGGTAAGCTTATGTAACTATTTTGTACGCGGGTTAAAATACAGTCATGGTTTCTTTTAGCCTATATACACAGGCACCAGACAGCTCGGGATAATTATTGTGAAGTGAAAGTCAATGGCCAACTCCGGTTACTTGTCATTTGATTATACAAATATTCTTTTGTAAAAAGGTGAATTTGATAAGAGTTAAAACCTAATGTGAATTAGCCATTAGCCTAAAACTGCTTTCTGGAAAAAGCCGAAGAAATGCCTTGATGACCGCAACCACTATGAACATAGCTTCATCGTGTGCAGTCCTTAGCTCTCATGTTTAGTTAGGTGATCTTAGTCTATAGGGTGGTCCCCAGGTTTCACAGTATCAGCAAATTACTCCTATATGTAGCTAAGTAATGAAGTGCATCAACATTCTATAAATAAATTCCTACAGGTAGCGAAGTAATGAATTTGATTGACAGTCTGTGGTATTGACAGCCGCCTGGCACTTCTAGCACTAATGGTAGCTAACACACACAACAGAGCCGTCCTGGGTGTAGTTCACTTGTTTGCCTTGCCTTGCCTTTCTACCTCGTTCCAAGTTGTTGAGACTCGGTTTGGAGTTGGGCGTCATTGGTGGTTTAATAGCCAAACTATTAAAGGAAGGGAGAGCGATTCAGAGATCACTGCAAAGCTCAGTGCATCCTAAACATGAGGCAGAGAATGCTGTGGCGGGATGCAAATTCTCCTATAAAGGAAAAGTATGAACAGCTCCGCATTATGAAGATATTCTCAAGGACAAACATCCTCACCCCAACCCCCTTAAGCTCAGGCACAGCTAAAATCGACTCTACCTGTCCTGTTCAATAGCATCACAGCGGAAACAATTGAAAAATCTGCGTTACTACCGGAAAACTCAGCGTGACCCCTTGCATGGACGTTCTCTGCTAGAGAAGCCTGTGTAGCTATTGCATTCGGAGGGAAGTTCATCACTTCTGCTTTGCCATTGCACGAGGATTTGTACCATCGATGTTTATCAATCATGCCTAAAGACATAGCTACATACACCTCATGTTGCCTTGTCACACATGATAAGAACCTAGTAGGAGTGTCTCCAGTGGGGATAGTAGGAGAGGTTGCTATAATCATGAATAATGCTATCATGACGGTAGCTAGTCTTAAACATAGTCTCTCGAGGGCCATAGGTTAAATTCAGGTGTGTGCAGGACAAGATTATGGTTGCTAAGCTGCAGTCCACGTCATGGAACACAAACCATGCCTTCAATCAACTGAATAGACATGTTGCTCTGTTGAACAGCTCAGTTCTTACTGATCAGAGGAAGGCACCACACAAGTAAACCCACTGTCAAAGGCAAGAGGCACTAGAACACTGATATTATATAACCGTCAATTAGACAGCATGGCCAGGCAGATCTGGTACTTTCTCTAACTGAACAACAACACATCGACAAAAATGTACTTCTGTTACAATGTACACAATCCACGTTCTCCCTATACTTGTTCAACATTATACCGCACTCTCACCTGCAGGACAGGTGGGTTTACAGCCTTCAGGCAGATATAGTAGCCTCCTCACTCAAACGTTTGTCATTGGGTGGCCACTGAACTGTCACTGAATAAGAGAGGTCATGGCGCATTACTTAGCCCTCACCAGGTTGATGTTACCATGTATGGTTTCTGAGGAGCCTTTTGAAGCTAGCTAGACGTCAGGGTGTTGAACCCATGCACCCAGTCAAATCGCCAGAGTCCTTTTGTATCCGTAGGTTACAAGAGCGAGAATAAAGGAGACATTATGATACGTTTGGTGAGGTAGGTGAAACATGTTATATACCTCCACCCCACCTCAACTACTGGAGGTATGAGCAAAGTTTCAACCACATTCTACAAGACGCTTGCCTCCATGATCAGACGATCAGTGAGAGAGAGGGTTAAAGCGTCAACTGGGATTTGTTGCAAGTTGAGCATGAGCATATGTCGATCAGGGGAGAAACATTGTCAAGACATCATGTGGCATTTGAGGCCACCATGGGACCAATTGACTTTCAAGTATATAGTTGAAGTTCAATTCCAAAAATTAGCCACAACCTTGACATTTGTTGATAACAGTCAGTTTCACTTAGTTCGGAGTTCATATGTGCTATATATGGCGTATTTTGCTTAGTACTACACTGCGATATAAGTAGCACAATGGAACATGATCATTCTTCCTTCTTATAATTATTCATGCAGAACAAGGACCAGAGCAGTGTATGCCCAATCATCAGTGTACCATCTCACCTGCTGTACTGGGTATAGTGGCAGTGGATGTCAAGGTATACATCTATCACCATTAAAAAGGCCAAAATGATTAGGTTATTTAACTAACATCCACTTTTTTAGCTACTGTATAATTATTACAAAAGTATAAGGTAACAACATGAGTATGATTTTTGGTAGATGGTGAATCCTAGTCAATTCTAAGTAAACATCATAAAGGGCCATACTTTACATAATAATTATATAACTGTGAGCTGGAACACATTTACAACATGTGGAGATATTTTTTTATGACTGTAGCACAAAAATGCAGTCACACGGAAGTGCATGTGTACAAACCTCTTGTTAGGAAAAGAAATAGGGATGTCACGTCATGAAAAAGAAGGAGAACGACACTGAGATAGTAGCTAATTCATACTCAGATTGTAGTTGTTGTTTGTTTTAAAAAAAGTGTATACTACAGATATGACAGGTCATGCAAGAGCACATAAATTTCTAATCAACAAAAATTGCTCCAGGCCATACATTATGATATACACCAATAAAGTGTGTTTACTACTTCATGCCAACACTTAGAATGATGAAAATTTTAACACAATTATTATGCAACCCTTGATTACCAAAATAAAAGCATTACAAGTTTGTAAACAACAACAAGAGCCTCAGGCCATTAAGTTGTGTTTGCACCTATAACATGCTTGTGCCTGGTTCTCCAACAATAAAATGCTGCGTTCTCTAACAATGACACAGATGTGTCATGATCAAAACAGCAATAGCGAAACCAATGAAGCTTAGTACACTGATGTACTCTGATAAGGGTTTATCAAAGCAAAATAAGAGTTCATCAAAACAAAACTTACAAGTGAGTACACAACAACAAACACTGCAGTCTAGGCGAGTGCTCTACAACTGAGCTACTAGGGCAACTCAGCTGGTATTGGTTCTACAACACAACACAATTCAACACAACACAAGGCAAACATCAAACCACTGTGGCACAGTATACTCTCACTCAGTATGTAGGAGCACAAACCACAAAAGACGCCCAACTCCAACCCGAGTATAATGCATGCCAACAGCGTCCATGAGCAAGTTACGCCTGTGTTTATGTAGCTCTCAATGTACATGCATCAGAAATCCCTGTCTTGTCTCCTTGCTTTACATAACATCCCTATATATTTACTTGTAATACACACACTTGTGTAAAACATTTTTAATCTTTTGAAATTCTACAGCTGTTTGCTCGCAAAATTGTCAAAATGGTGGAACCTGCTCATCACCAAACGTGTGTTCATGTCAAATTGGATGGAATGGACAGTCATGCACTATAGGTAGTAGCTACCTTTTACAACTTTGTTATCATTTGTGTATGACTACTACAGTTATTGACCTACGGAGCAAATGTTTTAGGCAGGGCAATGCTGCAAGTGGTTGGGTTTTTGAGTGAAAACTTATAACTATATGTATAAGCGATTATAAAAAAGGCACTGGCAAATAATCAAAGAAAACAATGTTTCGTTATGAACTTTTATAGTCAGGGGCCATTTTAGTAGCTGCACAAACAGTCCATGAAAACTTTCTTCTTATAACTAATTTTTTACCTAAGAAAGTTTTCTGGTTATATCCAATAGATCGCCAATAGCAGAAACTTTACAACGATGATAATGTGATCCAATGAACTAAAGAGTGACCAACACATTTAATAGTCCACGTTCTGCATGATAGGTTCCCACAATATTGCTGGGAAATACTTAATCCGTAATGTTATAATGAAAATCAATGGCATATGCACTTTTCTACATATCACCAATGATGTTTCACCAATGCATGTGAAACTTGAATTGTTACTACCCAACAGATGCTGATGAATGTTCTGTTGAAAATGGTGGATGCCATCATACATGCCACAACACAGCTGGAAGCTTTGAGTGCAGATGTAACTCTGGATACTCACTGGCCTCAGATGGTAGAACATGCAATGGTGAGTAGGTCTCTCTCTGTATTATTAGTCAACACTTCACTATATCACATGAACACAGAACCACCATCTGTACCAAGGAATGTGCGGGTGTCCAGTGTGGGTCAGAGGTCAGCCACAGTCTCCTGGGATCCACCAAATAACACCTTTCCAAACCCTCTGACTTCTGTGTCAGAATATCGTGTCACCGCATCACAAAGTCAATTCCAGGAGGGTAATCGTTTTGCCACTGAGGACGAACATTCAGGGACACATCAATTTACTGACCTTGAGGAACATACAATGTACTCCTTTAGTGTAGCAGCCTCTAACACATTTGGGTATGGAGTAGCAAGTGAGCCTGAAGATGCTACAACTCTTCAAGCAGGTTTGCTTATAGATAGGGTTTATCCAAATATGTTGCATAGTGGTAGCTAAGCTTTGGGTCATTTCTTTGCAAATCGCTTAGGTGGTTAATATCTAGCGACTCATTATTGTTGCAGCTCCGTCAGCTGCACCACTTTCGGTGGAGGTACTCTCCAACAGTTCCTACAACATCACCATCCAGTGGTCACCTCCTCCTGAGATTGACAGAAATGGTGTGATACTCTACTACCAGATAAATGTAACAGAAACTGAGACTGGAGCTGAGTTTACATGGACATCATCTGAAAACAACACAACACGTGATTCTCTTCATCCGCACTATCACTATGAGTGTAGAGTGGCAGCCTCTACTGTTGTTGGAATTGGACCATACTCTGCTGTTGAGACTGTGCAAACTTTACCTGCTGGTATAATATAAATTATTTTGCCACTTGTCCTCATGCGTTTCCTTAACCTTGTATACTAATAGTGTACTGCAGTTTTATGTCTATAATTATTCTGCCCCACAGTTCCTACTGCAGCACCTGCACATGTGAGGGTTACATCATTTGACTCAACAAATATATCCTTAGTCTGGGAGCCTCCTCACTTCAGTGATCGCAATGGAGACATTGTTATGTATCATATAATGGTTACTGAACAAGAATCTCAAACTGTTTCTGAGTACATGACTACCAGCGAAAACTACACCCTAACCAATTTACATCCTCATTACAATTACAACATATCAATTGCTGCAGAAACAGTTGAAGTAGGACCATTTACTTCTGGTTTACTTCAGCAAACTATGGAATCAGGTAGGTTTCATGCACAGCCATAATCCAAGTAGTCATAACTAACTCTGTATCCTGATGGTATGTTTCCTGTTGTAGTTCCCAGCAGTGCTCCAGGAAACTTTTCCATGTTTGCTACTGACGCAACTTCTCTTTTGCTTTCCTGGAGTGAACTGCCACTCCCTGATAGAAATGGAATCATTCTTGAGTACACCATTCACCTGACAAATGTTAGAACCGGAGAAGATACTGAGTATAGTGCTGTCACTGACCCATACACCATCACAAATCTACATCCTGATTACACTTATCGTGGCAAATTGGCTGCAGTGACAGTGGTTGGTGCTGGTCCATTTTCTTCACCTTTGGAAGTGAGATTACCAGAAGCAGGTATAACAATATTATATTAGTTAGCAAAAGTCATAAATACTTTGTGTGTTTGATACTGCAGCCCCTAGTGGAACTCCAACCAATTTCTCGGTTGAAGAAGTGCTTTCCCGCTTGGTAACTCTATCTTGGCAACATCCACTTGAAGAAGATAGAAATGGAGTCATTACTGGTTTCATAATGCAACTCGGTAGATCAAACACAAACAATATTACTCTGTTTGAGACAGGAAACATAACTGTATCCATCAATGAAGGACTAAGCCATTTACACAGTACTTTTGTAAGGTTGCAGCTCTGACAATGGCAGGGATGGGACCTTACACTGAGGCAATTTATTTTACTACCCTTGAGGATGGTAAGTAATGAAAGGTGCTCACTTTTAAAGCTTGTTATATATATCTTTCAGTTCCAAGCCCTGTTAACATGATAGTGATGATGGCTGTTCTTGGAACACCAACTCATTTGACCATCCAGTGGAACCCTCCTGTGGAACCAAATGGAGAACTATTAGCATACAGTGTTTACTGCGGGGTGTCAGCCCAGCAGCCACTTTGTGACTGTGACTTTAGTAATACATCACCCTCTTGTCCCTGTGGAGACATGTCATTGAATGTCTCATATCATCAACAAGCTGTGCTCCCAGTGGCTCTGTCACAAACTGAGGAAATTGGTGGATTCTTACCATACACCAACTACACCTGCTTTATGACTGCTAATACGTCTGCTGGAGAAAGCACTCCAGGAATCTCTCTTTCATCAGTTACTGATGAGTCATGTGAGTTGTGTTTTCTTTCCTTGTGTCGCTAGTGGGCATGCAAAAGCTATCGTCATTACGTGTAAGAATTATTGCGTTCCTCACAGGGCCCGAAGATCCACCTCAGAATGTGACAATTCTTGTCATTAGTGCTACAGTACTACACCTGTCTTGGAGACAGCCATCTACTCCCAATGGAGTTATAGTAACATACCACATCACATACAATGTATCTGCTTTAGAAGAGAGGACTCTTGATACAAGTGGAACTAATATTACTGTAACTGATCTTGATGAATATACTGTGTACAAGTTTTCACTTTATGCATCTACTCGCATTGGTGATGGACCATTTACCATCATTCTGGGGAGAACAAATGAGTCATGTAAGTGGAGTAAACACTAATGCTTTGTGTGGCATTTTCTTTGGCAACTATGCAGATCCACATTCTCCACCGAGAGATGTTCAGCTGTTAAATGTTGGAAAGCGGTCTGCAGATGTGTCCTGGATCCCTCCATTGATTCAAGATCATAATGGCCCCCTAACGCATTATGAAATACAGTTCATTCAAAGTCAACTTGATTCAGTTCCTAACGTTATTATCATGAGTAACAATTTGTCCATCAGCTACTCAGATCTGGAAGAGTTCACAAACTATGCAGTAGTTGTGGCGGCATCAACAAACACAGGAATTGGACCTTTCAGTTCTCCTGTTACCTTCACCACTCAAGAAGATGGTAAATTTGTTGAATGGATAATAGGATGGGTTTGTGTGACGTGATTCCACCCCACAGCACCATCTTCAGCTCCACTACTGGGAGCTGGCTATGCTCATAGTTCCTCTGTTGTAACATTCAACTGGACGGCCCCCCTCCCAATTGATCAAAATGGAGTTATTGACTACTACAATGTGATTGTAACAGAAGTTCCTAGTGGACGGGAGTGGTTTCTGGTTGCTATAGACACAGAGATTACCCTAGCCTCACTGCATCCATTCTACAATTACAGCTGTGTTGTTGCAGCGTACACAGTAGACATTGGCCCATTCTCCCAGCCATTTTTCATTTTAACAGGAGAAGAAGGTAACAATGAACCTATTATACCACCCTCTCTTTATGAGTTTTCATAATAATATCCATGTAGCTCCAACTGCTCCACCATCAAGGCCACAGATTGTGTCCTATTCTTCCACTTCAATATCGCTGACATGGGAGCCACCTCCTGCCGAGCACATAAATGGAATACTGCGTTATTACACTGTGGTCTACACGGAGCAAGACACATCTCTTGAGTTTTCGGTCGCTTCAAATATCACTAGCCTTCAGCTGATGGGTCTCCACCCATACTTCACCTATGTCATCAAAGTAAGAGCTGGGACTGTTTCCCCTGGCCCTTTAAGCGATTCACAGAGTGTTCAGCTTCAAGAAGATGGTATGGTTTGGTGATGTGCATGTGCATGGGAGTTATTGTTCTTTATTATATAGCTCCTTCTGCAAGTGTGCTAAACCTTTCTGCTCAGGCAGTGGATTCTAAAACGATCTTCATCAGTTGGATCCCACCTCTTTTCATTCACCAGAATGGCATGATACGAAGTTACACAGTATTTGTAACTGAAACAAACACTGGAATTATGTACAACTACTCCTCCTCTACAACCGATGTGACTGTGAGTCAGCTACATCCTTACTTCACATACAGCTGTGCTGTGTCTCCTGTGACGGTCAAACCTGGACCCTTGTCGTCGCCTGTATATGTTACCACACACCAGGATGGTAGGTAAAAATTGATTAGTTCGTGAAGTGTATTAAATACCCTTGCAGTGCCCAGTGGAACAGTCCAAGATATTGAAATACTTGAACTGCACTCAAAAACGGTGATCTTACAATGGGAACCACCAGAAATAGAGCATCAAAATGGTGTGATAACTCTTTATCATGTGAATATCTTCGCCATCACCTTGAATGACAGTGTTCAATTAACATTTTCAAATGCAACTGGTGAAGTTAGTAACCTCAGTCCCTACACAAACTATCAGATTGGTATAGCAGCTGCCACAGTTGTTGGTGTTGGACCATTGAGTCCTCCCTTCAACATCAGAACTGAAGAAGATGGTAAGATATTACTCTGTCTGTTTAACTTGTTACAAAACCACCACTGTAGCTCCAAGCAGTCCACCAATGGATGTTGAAGCTGTGTCTCTCAACTCCTACACATTATCAATATCATGGAGTTCTCCTTCACCTGAACATGCCAATGGTGTTGTTCAAGGCTACACTGTGACTTTATTGGAGACAGACACACTTGACAGTATTACAAACGCTACCAACCAAACGAGCATTACACTATCGTCCCTGATCCCTTCATTTACCTATGTGTACACAGTTGCTGCTGCAACAATAGAGCTAGGACCTGCAAGTCCCGAGATGAACATCACCATGCCTGAGGATGGTAAGCTCGTAACACATTATCATTCTAAAAAGTGAGCTATTATTCCCTTCTTGGCAGCTCCATCTGGGCCTCCGACTAACATTACTGCAGAAATAGTCCAGCCAAACAGTGTCACTCTGACATGGAGCCCCCCTGAGAAAAGAGCTAGAAATGGCATAATCACTGAATATATTGTTAACTACGTGCCTTTTATATCAGATAATAGCTCTTCGCTGCTTACAGACACACAAATAATTGACATCATCAACCTGAATCCCCATACTATATATTCATTCTCTGTTGCTGCAAGAACTGCTATTGGTATTGGGCCATTCAGCACTCACTTGCATGTAAGAACTGAAGAAACAGGTGAGTCCAATTAGGGGTACTGTGTCTGCATATCGATCATACTTCTCTGTATGTAGCACCATCAAGCCCACCTACTAATGTTACTGCAAACACCATTGACTCAACGACAGTAGCTCTGAGTTGGGTGGCTCCTCCACCTGCTGACCATAATGGCATCATTCGGTACTATGCTGTGAATCTAACAGAAACTGACACAGGGGTTCAGTTCCAGATAGAATCTGAGACAACAGCCAAAATCATTTCGTCACTTCATCCCTCTTATATCTATGAAGTAGTGGTAGCTGCTGTAACGATAGCCATTGGTCCTTACTCTGTATCAGTGACCTTTGGGCTCCCTGAAGATGGTTAGTTTGTGTTCCGTTCATCATAGGATGTGATATAATTATTCCCCATACACAGCTCCAAGTGGACCGCCTACTAACTTTAATGTTGAGGCACTATCTTCAAGCTCACTTCAAGCTACCTGGAATGTTCCACTACAAGAACAACAGAATGGTGCTATAACGTACTATGTGGTGACTGTCACAAATCTGAATGATGGAGTTGAAAGAGAGGATGTCGTATCCAATACTTCTCTTATGGTTTTCTCACTAGAACCCCACACAGAGTATGAGGTTTATGTTCTTGCTGCAACAACAGCTGGAACTGGACCACCGACCAATCCACTCACTGTACACACACATGAAGATGGTAAGTTTACTCATAAAAACTGATCTTCCTTGTTTACTAATGAATACAGCACCAACTCATGGACCAACAAATTTGACGGTAGTGGATATCGGTCCAACACATATTCGCATCAGATGGGATCATCCCCCAAATGACACTCACCAGGGGATAGTTCGACTGTATAAAATCTATGTATCTGTGGAGGAAACGGAACAGACTTACTTCTACACAACCACAGCTGATAACACGGAATTGCTACTGGCATATTTGCATCCATACTACACATACCACATGAGGGTTGCAGCAGTTACGGTGGAGGAGGGAAATTCAACCTTTCTTTCTGCAAAAACTGATGAAAGTGGTATGTGCTTTGTTTACACACAAAGCGTAGTTATCCTGCTATTTCCCTATTTACAGCTCCTAGTGGACCACCACAAAATTTTGAGGTTGCAATATTAAATTCAGCGTCAACTAACATTACATGGTCCAGCCCAGTGGAAGAGGATACCAATGGTATTATTCGACACTTTGTTATCAATATCACTCAAGATACAGGAGAAGTGCAGCTAGTAACATTATCTTCTCAGCATCTGTATCATATTGCGAGAGATCTTCAGCCATATACTAATTATTCCATTAGTGTAGCTGCAGTAACGGTTGACATCGGATCTTTCAGTAGTGAAATAACTGTAGAGATGCCTGAAGCCGGTAAGTTGAAATGAAGATTTCTCCTCAGCATGACAAACTGCTTTCTTTGCAGCTCCAATACTACCACCAGCAAATGTCTCAATTCTCATTTTAAATCGTAGACAAATACTTGTCTCGTGGACACCTCCAGAAAAGAATGCAAGAAATGGTCTCATTCGAATGTACATCGTTAATGTAACCAGAGTTGATAGCAATGAAATATATTCTGAGACATCAGATGCCTCCAATATCACTCTAACTGTTCTTCCGTTTCGTCACTACCACATATCAGTAGCTGCTGTAACGGTAGAGACAGGTCCATTCTCAGATAACGTAGCTGTTGAAACTCCTGAAGATGGTAAGTTGCAAATATCAGCAAAACATTTGATACATATCTTCCATTATATATCAGCTCCAACAGCTGCTCCACAACATCTGGAAATCTCAAATGTTACATCAACCACATTGACTCTAACATGGGCCGAACCAGACACAGAATTCCACAATGGGATCATTCGACACTACACCGTTGTTGCAATGCCACTTACACTAGAAATTGAGTCAGTGAGTGTCAGGACTTCCAACGAAGAAGTGGAAATCCTTGGTCTGCATCCATTCACAACTTACTCAATAAGCATAGCTGCTTTCACCGTTGGTTTGGGGCCTTCTGAAAGCATAAATGCTACAACCATGGAGTCACGTTAGTTTCTCATAAGGTTCATTTTCGTCCAGTTTGACTGTCACTATTTGGTTGCAGTTCCCAGTGGAGCAGCAACGTCCGTCGCAGTGGAACCAATCAACTCAACTACTATCCATGCTAACTGGCAACCACCACTTGATGTTCACAAGAACGGAATTATCCTAAATTACGTTGTCAACATTTCTCAAATAGGCTATACTTTAACCAACATGTACCTGGAGTTTTCTGAGCAGTTGACGGTTGGAAATCTGCAACCTTTTTCTCTCTATGCCATTTCGGTAGCAGTTGAGAACTCAGTTGGAGTTGGACCATTCTCTGTTCCTGAGCTGGTACAGACAATGGAAGATGGTAATATCTCATTTTCAGCACCGTAACCTATATCGTGCTTGTTATTCTGTAACACAGCTCCTAGTTCACCACGCTATTTGAGATTCTCCAACCTCACCTCTACCTCTGTCCACTTGTGGTGGGATGATCCACCACCAGAGGATCACAATGGAATCATTAGATCTTATGAGATTGATGTGGCAGAGAATGAGACTGGGCTCGTTTACCACTTCACTGCCACAGACATGCAATACATGGTTCAGAGTTTGCACCCAGCATATTGGTATTATGTGCAAGTGCAGGCTGTGACAGTCGAGGCGGGAGAACCTAGTGAAGAACTTATCTTTAAAACCCTTGAGGACAGTAAGCCTAATCATTATTTCACTCCTATTTCACCTCTCACCTGATACTACTTTTCTCTATTCAGTTCCCTCATATCCACCACTCAATCTCTCGGTGTATGTGCAAAATTCTACACATGCAATGGTAATGTGGGAAGATCCAGATCAAGACCAACATAATGGAGTAATTACAGATTACAGGGTCAAACTTATTGAGACAGATACACTTGACACCTTTCCTATTCTTACCGTGATTTTAATGCCTTTAATGCTGCCTGACCTACATCCTTTCTACACATACCAATTGCAAGTTGCTGCTGCTACCTCTGTTGGTGTGGGGCCCTATACTCAACTTTTTGCATTCAGAATGGATGAAGCAGGTATATACATCTGATTGTATCATGCACCCATGGTTTATAGTGGCTCTTTCACCGTATTTCAGCTCCCAGTAGCCCTCCTCAAAATGTGACTGTGGAGCCTGCAAGTTCAACAGCAATTTTGATATCCTGGGAACCTCCTGCTATTGGGGATCAAAATGGTCATATTCGCTCCTACAACATAGTTGTTGCTGACACGGTTTCTCAGACTGAGAGAATGTATACAGTTGGCTCAGAGCACACTCAGATACTGGTCAACATGCTCCAGCCTCACCGATCCTATGAGAGCAGTGTGGCTGCCACAACTGTAGCCACTGGTGTCTTCTCCCATCCGGTCGTTGCAACTACTAACCAAGATGGTAAGTTGATATAAGCTGTGTGCAATCCTTATCGTAACCCCCTATTAAATCATGAAGTTGCTTCTGAGGCTCCATCTGGAGTGTCAGGTTGGGCAGTCAATTCAACATCTATCTATGTGACCTGGAGTCCATTGCAAGAGGACTTGCAGAATGGGATAATAGTACACTACTCCCTGCGGCTCACAGAAGTAGCTTCTGGCAGAGTAATCACCACTGAAAGAAATGCAACCAGTGTTGTTGTATCATCTCTTCACCCTCACTATGCATATGAAGTAACAGTTGCTGCAGCTACAATCGTTGGCAATGGACCATTCAGTTTAGGGATTTTGGTTCTCACCTACTCTGATGGTAAGCCCTATTCTCAATGCTGGGAAAGCAACACTGAACTGCGTTTATAGTTCCGACAGGTGCACCAGTGAATGTTGAGATCGAGTCTATATCATCCACCTCAGTGACAGTATCGTGGGGTGAACCCTCACTTGAAGAGCAAAATGGTGTTATTTTGGCATACTTTGTCTCTGTGGTTAAGGACAACGAACAGTTGAATGTGACAACCAATTTTACAGCGGCATACATTTCTCACATACCTATATCTCCTTTGAAGCCATTCTCTGAATACAACTTGTCTGTTGCTGCCGTGAATATCAACGGTACCGGACCTTATTCCCAACATATACCATTTACAACTGCTCAAGCAGGTTATTTGTATGCAACAACATCACACTTTTAGCGATTATATTTTTAATGCTGCAGCTCCCGGAGCACCACCAGTGGGACTAAGAGCTGAAAATGTGTCATCTAGAGCTATGTCTCTAACCTGGGAGCCTCCACCAATCTCCTCCCATAATGGAGTCATTCAAGAGTTTCGGTTGCATGTGCTCGAGAATAACACCAATACTGAGACCTATTACAACTCCCTATCAACGGAGATGACTTTGAACAACCTACACCCTTACTATAATTATCTGATGAGTGTTGCTGCTGCGACCGTAGATATTGGTCCTTATGAAACAATTGACATTATGACACTTGAAGAAGGTAAAACAATAGCATGAGATTTAGATATCTTTGCTCTGAATACTATTTGACTATCACAGCTCCCAGTGGACCCCCTCAACAGCTACAAGTGCTCTCAGTGACATCAACCAACGTTACTCTTTCATGGGTCCCTCCTAGTTTACAACAACAAAATGGAGTCATTAGGAATTATACCGTGAACATTTGTCATCCAAAGACTGATAACTGCTGGAGTGAACTGTCAGGAAACACTCAATACACTGTTTCAGAACTCCACCCGTTCTATACCTACCATATCAATGTTGCTGCCATTACTGTAGACAGTGGACCACCAACTGGCTACAAATCCGTGACCTGCCTGGAGGATGGTATGTTATGTAATAGAGGTGCTTAGTAATACCTGCTTACTTCAACAAATTATTTATTCAGCACCAAGTGGTCCTCCGACTAATGTTACGGTTGAAGCACTCAGTTCATCCAGTCTACACATGATCTGGTCTGAGCCTGAACCAGAAAGCACAAACGGAATCATCAGAGAGTATGAGGTTATCGTGAGGCGTTTCCAAAATGGTAGCAGCAGTTTAATGTACAGTGTGGTGGATAATGAGCTAATCATACAATTGTTGACACCATTTTCTGACTATGAGTGTTCAGTTGCTGCTGTCACAGTGAAACGTGGGCCTCACTCCATCCCTGTGTCAGCTCAAACCTTGCAAGATGGTAACAACTACGATTTCAATCACCCAATAATTATTACAAACCTTCTTTATCAACAGCTCCTTATGGTCCTCCCCTCAATGTATCTATTGAAATACTGAGCAGTTCAAGCATTAATGTTTCCTGGTCTCCACCTATGCAACATTTGCAGAATGGCATCATCCAAGAGTATATATTGTCTATTTGGATTGGTGATAGCATCACGACAAAACATACTAATGTTTCCTATGCCATTATTGAGTATCTACATCCACACTACACTTATAACGTGGCCCTGGCGGCATTTACAGTTGCTTCAGGTCCGTTCAGTATTGCTACAAATTTCACAATGCCACAAGATGGTAAGTTACAGCGGCCGATTTTTAAGCTTACACTGTTGTCTCCCCATGTATATGTGTAGTACCATCTAGTGGACCAGAAAATGTTGAAGCTGTGTCCCTCTCTCCTTATAACATTGAACTACACTGGGAGCCACCATATATTGAAGATCAGAATGGAAACATAGTCTCGTATTACATCAGTGTAACACACATTTCTACCGGTGAAAAACAGTCTTTTGAAACCTCAGGAGACTCTTTTTTCTTCTCTGGGAACAACTTCCATCCATACTATACCTACAACATCACCATATATGCCGTGACAGTCGGAATTGGTCCTGGTACTTCGGTCATCCTTACAACAATGGAGACAGGCAAGTAATGCTTCAATGCACTTTATAATCATAATCATCAGTGTATAAATCACAGCTCCTTCTTCTCCTCCTCTCAACGTGAGTGCTGAGCCCATATCTTCAACAGTGGCAACCCTAACATGGCAGCCTCCAGACCCTGAGAACAGAAATGGTCGTGTTCGGGGATACTCAATCATCAGAGTCACCTTACCCACGGGGGATTTGCATCAACTAATGACAAGCAATTCAGAGATGGTGCTGGAAGATCTACACCCATATACAAACTATTTTGTAGTCATTGCAGCAAAAACCGTTTCCCTTGGGCCCTTTTCACCTCAGGAGTTTATTAACATGCCAGAGGCAGGTGAGATGATTACCATAATTATCATTAGATTTAGTTTAAATTATGTATAATAATGAGGCTTTGTTTGTTTGTATAAAACATGCTTGAAATGCGTATAACTAAAAAGCACAGCTGTTCATTGAAATAATTCCTTTGTTATAGGCCCATCAGCTCCTGTACAGAATATCTCACTGAGAGTTCTATCAGCAACCTCAGTAGGAGTAAGGTGGCTCCCTCCACCTATTGACTCCTGGAATGGAATCATCAGAAACTACACAATAAATGTGGATCATGTGGAATCTGTACACTCAGCTGAAAATAATAGCCTGGAATTGCACAATCTCAGCTTTACACAAGTTCATCCCTCAAGGGATAACCCTCTGTCTAACAGTGGAGATCCTCATCTTGTCTCCCTGCCCCTGCTATTTGAGTCAGTAATCATTCGGAATCTCCAGGAGAGCCAGGTGTATCAGTTCAGTATTGCCATGGCCAATTCGGTTGGATGGGGAGAGGAAAGCCTACCAATCATCCAAGAGCTCCCGGGAAGTGGTGAGTTATGATACATAAAGGGGTATCATAATAATAATTATAGTATCAATTCAGAGCCATCAGGGGCCCCAGATAGCATCCAAGTTCGAGTGCTCTCATCTTCATCAGTGGAGGTTCACTGGGAGCCTCCCAGCTTCATTCATCACAACGGAATCATCATTGGATATTGGGTAGAGGTTACTCATGGGATGACCCCACCGCAATCGGTGTTCAATGAAACTACTGATAAGCTCACCATAGTTGTTGATGGTAAGTACTATATAGCAGAGCTAATTGTTTGATGATAGTGTTTTGTGTGTTATTCGTTGTCACAAATTTCTAATCAAAATTTTTTAACAGGTCTTGAAGGGTTTACAGACTATTACATAACCATAACGGCAGAGAATTCTGACGGAAGAGGACCGTCTTCTATTCCAATTCATTTCAAAACACTGGAGGATGGTACATGACATAGTAATTGTTTTGTATGTTGTCATGATAATATTATAATAACTTCAGTTCCATCAGTTCCTGTCAATGTGACAGTACGTCAAGTTGGAATGACCTCTGTCTCTGTTTCATGGGGTGTTCCGGAACATCCTAATGGTGTTATTGTTCACTATATAGTTTGGTATGCTCCAGCTCTGGATAAAAATGATGAAATGGTACGTTTACCTCCAGTATAAGCTTATATATAACTTTCACTTTATTTTGAAATAGGTGAACAATACAATCACAGTAGATGCTCAACATACACTGCTGACAGTTGAAAATTTGACTGTTGGTTTTTCATACATATTTAAGGTTTGAAATCCCCAATCTCTTCCTTAATGTCCACCTCAGAATAATTATACATTATATAATTTCAGGTGAGAGCTGAAACCACTGCTGGTGTTGGAATTTATTCCGAAGTGATAACCATCACATTGGGTAATTCATTAGGAGACCCCTTTTCCCTTTAAGGCATCTATTTCTTACAGATACTAATTATCTGGTAACGGTGGAAGAAACATTTTCTCAATCACAACTTGAAGATAATGGAGCTATCATAGTAGCATCACTGGTAGCATTTGGTGGATGGATATTTGCAGTCATTTCAACTGCGACTGTATTCTGCATGTGCTACATGCGCTACATGCATCACAAAAGAAACAGACCAGCATATCGAATCAGGTAAGAGAGTTATTAAAGAGATGGTGGTTAAATTACGGTGAAACTCTGTTAGATGCTGAAAAATTCTGTCCCAGATTGCTTACATTTTTGTTTCTATCAACCTCTCTAGGTTATACTTGTAGGTACAAAGATGTAGGGATTGGGTTACGAATCACCTTTTTATCTTGGTGGAGGTATCTTATTTCCCTTATTTTTCATGATGTGACATCCCTACATCCCTCTTTATATAATTTCCACAAAACACCTCCTCAGTTAGGTTTGTTGTGTCTAGATTAATTAACTTATGGGGTATAGTAGGACTTTTAATAGGATGCGATCTAACTGTGTGGTTATGAAGATCCCTTGCTAGTTATACAAACAGTTCCTTTACTCTTTTCTTCCATCCTTAGATATTTTAATCGACCTACCGAAGAAAATATATACGATGAAATGTGAGTAGCTCATTAATTGCACACTAACCTCCTATTATTGGCGAGTGAAGCGAGTTCTACCTAGTTGTCAATTTGGCCTACGTGATTCATGCACTCAATTTAATTTTTTAGCAGCATGTGCCTTTAACTCGTGTTCACTTGCCAAAAATGGATTGCATTTGTTACAGTTACCTTTTGTTGTAACTTCAAAGCAACACCATTTTACTATTGATGCTCCTGTTTGTTATGTATGCAGAAACATGCAATCAGAAACTTACCAAAATCAAGAAGCCAACCGTGAAGGTAAGTGCTGTACTAACATAATTGTAGTTAGCCATGCTTATAACATACTAATTGACTTTTCAGGAGCTTCAGGCACTGACTGTGAAAAGAGCACTGCCTTGTAATAGAGCACTACATATGACTTGACTTGAATTACAATAGTCTTTCTGTAGATAAAGGACAAGAATCGCTCGTTATTTTTTACTTGTAGGATTATTGCTGTATGTTTTACGCTGCATCTGTATAATGAAGGTACTAGAGTGTAAACCCCCGGCGCAGATGCAGCTCTATTACTGAAGCGATACTTTTAGAGTTTAGCAAATAGCTTGTGCAGGGGAAGTAATATTCAGCAAAAATGATTCTTAGCCAGATCAAAACAACGTAAAAAACGTTACCAGAATTGAACTCCAAACAAACTGTATTGCGCTCTGTCTATCGAATCAATGGCGGCTTAGACCGCTAGGCCTGTCATTGGATCCCCTGAAATATTTTGTTCCGCCACCGTATGTTGTACCCCCTTCAAAATTCTGGTTCCCCCTTAGTAGCGGCTCAAGTCTTCACATAACTACAGTTGAATCTGGACCTACAGCTGTACTAGGTTAGTCAAACTAAACACTCGTTTACATATCTTTATCGGAAAGACCACTTGTTAAACTAGATGCTTCAGGCTCATTAGCTACTGCTTGCGTACTGTGTGTCCCTGCCTAGCCAACTAGCTACCTGTCACCATCGATATTCCACAAATGCATGCTTTTAGTGCTTTGACTTTGTCACACACAGTTTACAATTTATTCACGGTCAACCTCTCTACAACTTCATTCCCATGCACATTAGAGTGACCATCATAAGAAAATGCAGTGTTGTCAAAAGTGTTCATTACAAAAAATTCTAGTGGAAAATCATTTCTTCAAGGCGGATAAAGAGGTTGTTTGAAGGACCAAAAAGGAAGAAACAAGGGGACAGCTAAGACACACAAAACTACATGACACCATTCCTATCTCTTATATATCAGACAAAGATATAGGGATAGTGTGTAGTTTGTGTGTGTTTGATATCCCTTTATCCCTCTTTATTTTGAAGACCATTTGTTACATTGCAGAGGTTTTTGAAATAATAAAAGGAAACTTTAACTGGTTGCTTGAAATTTTGACACTGGGAGGATGATAGTTACGCCATAGCAGTATCTCCACTCACACTTACTCCACCATTGAGGGTACGTCGCCCAGGGTCATCTGTCACTTCCAAACTTGTATAATAATTTATAGTGATAAATGTTTTGTCAGGTTTTATGTTGGTAGCCACTACTCTCAGGGTGAAGGTAGCTATAGAGATGGGATTAGGACTAGAAAATTCAACATGCCCACTGGAACCTGCAAATGGGTGTTCAGAGTACGTGCTGCCTGGTATTCACATAAAGAGAGTTGATAGCAACCAAATTGTAATATAATTATTAACCCTCGGCGCGCATGCGCAGCGAGGGTTGTCTGTCTGTCTGTCTGTGTGTCGACGCTTATTCTGCCACTACAGGCCACGAACTGGCTAATGAGCGATACCAACGGCTTCAGAACTACGCGAACCTGAAAAATTATTAGGCGATTTTCCTGAAACGACTGCGTTCGAGAGATATGCCGTGAAAACAAGCGAAAAAGCCAATATGCATAATCGCACTGGGCTTACCGCGACCTGATCCGCTCGCTCTGTGTACCTTGGGGGCTCAGGAAGTCACAACCAATGGCATGTCATGCTATCTACTACTGTAGCTAGCCCGTGTCTGACTCTCCGCGGGCTACTAGCGGAAGACCACGAGTAAACGCAAATAGCCGGCCCAGCGTTATCAATTAGCAGTATCGCGCATGCGCAGTTCGCCGAGGGTTTGCACTTTAGTGCTTTTCATTTGGTTGGTGAACAACCGATATTTTTTGGGTCCTATTTGGGACTATAATTAGGCCTTCTTTAGTTCTACACTAGTTATATATAGCTTTACTTTTACACCAGCTACACAAGTTACCCAGTTGCAACTCTTTCACACAGGTGTAATTCCTGAATAATTCTGGAAAGGCTTCAAGGGGGTGAGGCATCAGTTCAGACACTCACGTTTAGTTCATTGGGCAAAACGTTCTTAGGTAGACATCGTCTGGTTACTGGGGATATATATACTCATAGTCTTCTTTCATGTAAATATTGCCGCACTCCGATTTATTGCAAAGAATGGCGGTACACTGTCCAGCGAGGTATGACGCAACGTTACCACGGATGAAGGTAAAGCACTGGGAATATTCTCTTCTTGTGTCCATTCAAAATGTATAGGCATGATGCATCACAGGTTAGCACAGAAAAGAGGGATTTGGCGATATTTTGGAGGGATAGGCAGTATTTTTGCTCGATTATGAAGCAAGAAGCGGGATGGTTGGTAGGTATGATTATACCGACTATATAGAGTCAGCGATCAATTCGACCACAATCAATTTTCGGACGCGTTATACTGTGGAACCCCTCTAAGGCGGACAACTTAGAGCCACAACATTTTGTCAGGGTGTCCTTTATGGAGAGGTTTTGCCTGATTATACGTTATTACACTATATTCTATGTCACTAATTCACTGTAAAAGCACTATAGACAAGATTACAACATGACATGATGATGATGACAGTAGTCAAAGTGTATAGAAATTATTGCTCGCTAAAACCTTCCGCGCTTCTTTTTATCCGAAAGGTTTTTCATATGCTGCCTGATGTCGTCGTGCGACGTGCGTACAAACGTGCGTATACGCGTGTGTGTGTGTGGCTCCGTCATGATCAGTCCTGAAGATGCCCTTCGTCGTCGAAGAGAGAGGCAAAGAGAACATCGTGCCCGTGAGACCCCTGGGCAGAGAGAGAGGCTCGTCTGTATCAGCGTCGCTTGCGTGATAGGGAACTATTTTCAACATTAATTATTTAATTTTTACACGCTGCCTAGCTGTCGTATCGATTCGAAATCTAGCCAGCGAAAGAACTCTCGTCTATTCGCTGGCATTCGCTGCGCTCTTCGATACCTGACCGAGGCTGTATGATACCTCTTCCCAATCTTCGTGGTTCTAGGAATGCTCGTGCAGATACAATCATTGTATGCTCACTCCCGCTCGCCAATAATGCCATGCATTCGCCTATATACTAGTATTCGCTGGCAGGGGGTGCGGAAACTGTCCGTTACGCGGTTACGTTGAAAAACATCATTTTACTGTCCGTTATAGCTACGGAGTAGCGGGGTGTCCGTTCTGTAGCGGTTATGAACGTACGGAACTCTACGATAAAACAATCGGGACCTGCGAGTTTGTCCGTTATAACGCGGTGTCCGTTGTAGGGGGGTGTCCGTTAAGCGGGGTTCCACTGTAATTTTAATGTACCGCAGCAAGGCGCGCATGCGCAAATAGCAGGAATTGTCGTGGCGTGGAACCCCAAGCGAGAATGCTCCCGTCCACGACTCGCTCCTGTTCACAGTCGAGTCTCCCTCCCGTCAGAGAGGGTTTAAAGAAAGGGGGCCTCCCAGCCGTTAATCAGGGTTTGAAGATAGGATGTCGGCAGCCGTTGTATATGGGATGCTGCCGTGTTTACATGCAAGCCCCCCAGGAATCACCTGCTATCACACTGTAATGAGCACCAGAAGGTAACGGGAGCAGTTTGTGTGGCCTGTTTAAAGATGTATCAGCCAGCTGAAAGGGAGAGAGTGTGTTCATGTGTGGGGCTCCCCTCCTATTTATATGCTGTATTGGCCAGCTAAGGGAGAATGGAGCAGTTAGTTGTGCCTCTTGGAAGCTGAAGCAGTCAGTTAAAAGAGAGAGTGTGTGTACTTACGTGGGGCTGTTAGGCAGAAGCAGTCAGCGAAGGGAGAATGGAGCAGCTGCCCCATGTCATTCAATAGGGTTGGTCACTAATGAATGTACGTTATGTATTAGTTAACGTATAGGCGGCGAGGCGGTACAGGAGATACTCCGAGGCTGTTGACTATACCGGACGAGGGCGTAGCCCGAGGCGCGGTATAGTTAACAGCCGAGGAGGATTTCCTGTACGCGCCAAGACGCCTGACGTTAAACTGATTTGTAGTCCAACTAGCCAATCACAATGCTGAATTTCTGCTGTGTCATCTTGCACTAATGTACTAATGACTGTTGTGTAAACTTTGGAAGCCAGACAATTTGCACTACGCCTACAGCTCAGAATACAGCGTATATTCCTAGCACTGGGTTGTTTGAAGTTGGACTACAAAAGTGAATGTTGACCAATGTAAGGTTTGGGGGGCGACTGCTTCTTAGGTGGAGCTTTGCAACCACCACGCGTTGCCTCCCCCAAGAAAGGGGTGTGGTGCACCTGGTGCCAATTATACCCCTAGATGAGGGGGGCACCTCCAAATAAGAGAAGCGTGCGTGCTAAGCCCCCCCCCCAGCCCCCCCCCCCCCTTTAACTGGTTGAGCTAACCCAAATACCCATCCCGAAAGGCATGACTACGTAAGTGCAGCAGGGGAAGATGGGAGGAGTGGGGTTCGCAACCTGCAAGACGAGCGTAGTAAGTAGTCATTAAACCAGGTCAACGGACAAGCGAAGCGGCGGTGGCGCGTTGGCGCATGCGCACGTCGTGGTCCCACCGCGTGGTTCCCTGGCAAGCGTGCAGGGAGCAACAGGTTCATGCTAAGTGAGCAGCGTTCTCAAGCTCCCACCCTGCCCTCCCAGTACAAGACAGGGAAGCAGAGGGCTCAAACAAGACATAACTGATAATACCAATATATAGACACGTACATGTGGACTAGGTATCCGAGAAATCTCGGTCCTGCCTTGCGCACAAATGATTTTATGAACGATCGAAGTGAACGTCCAACCCAGAGATCGGGAACAGTTACCAATTTCCGGACGCTTGCCACCAACACTTTGAGAGAGGACGGAGGAGATTCCAAAGCTACTGCATGTGTAACGCTACCCTTCCTCTATAGACACGCCATATCTATGTTTCGTCAAAATTCCCCAGAAGCAGCTTGCGATCGAGCCAAGCGTGTGGGTCACTCCCACTATTTTAGACACTTCACTGACAAGCTAATACAGTGGAACTAGGAGTTGCAGGTTTCGCGTTCCACCCGCTTATACGCTGAAGGGTGTTGACATGTTATCAAGAACTTGACCCTGAAGGAGAGTAGGGATAAACTAAAGGTGAAAAGGAACAGTACTTCCACATTGCAGTTACTCCTAAATAGCGCACAGCACGGTAGAGTTCTAAAAGCAATGGGTTGTTGAGGGAGGTAGAG